TTTTTTGTAGTTTTCTTTTAGTAAGATGCCAAATATTTGTGGAGTGAGCCGTTGGGTTGTAGCATATAATATATTCGTTCTCTTAAAGATATTTGAAATATTTCAAAACGATGTTTCAAAACTCAATCCGGTGTTTTCAGAAAAAAATAGGTGATTTATAAACTGAACATTCGGACCGAATATATCACTGTCCATCTACATTCTAAACGGGAAGGTCGCGTTTGCATAAGTAAGTTTGGAGGGTCGTTGACTTAGCTGGTCCTACTTAAAAAAAATGTCATTCCTCCTGGATACTATTGTCTATTTTTTGTCATACTGTGTCTATCTTCTATATAATTAATACGCCAACACGAAATTTGTCCTTTGAACTCCTCCGCCACGATTTGGATTTCCAATGGAAAGAGCGTGTCGCGTAGATTTGCAAACTGACCTTAAATTAAAAAAAAAAAATATCTTGGGCTCTGCCCCAGTGGCTTTTAAATCCCCCATATTATCCTTATGAAGAACATACTTGTTTACATTATGATCAGCTGGATAATTTAATTGCTGTTAATATTTAAGTTGCAATTCAAGGATATCGACCTACAAAAACTAAATCTTTCTGGTTTAAATTAAATATTTACTCTTTAAAATTGGGTTTTCTTACATATTACAATGGAAAAAATTGAGAAAGCCTGGACAATTTGATATACTGTATTATCCAAATAAGAACAATGAATTGACACAGTACTGAATTTTTTGACAATCATTGAAAGAATCGATTTGCAAACTATGGAACCATAAACAGTCAAAGAACGCCACCGAGTACAAGAAATAGATATGTTGTTTTTTTTTAGAATTTATCATCGTTATTATCCTATATAATGAAGAACAAGATGTACAAGATGAAGATTCCTACAAACGATGAATTGGAGGATGTTAGCTGAAGTGCTACAATTGTTAGTAGGAAACATGGACTTAACTTTGTGATAAATAAATAAGGTCTTTATTCGTGAGCGAATTTCAGTTACAAAACTGTTTTACAAATTGACTCAAGTCAGGACTTAAAAAACCTCTTAGACTACGAAACAGTATTTTCATTGAGTATTATTCATTGAGTGATTTTTATTTAGTATTTTCAAGAAATACATAATAGTAGGTTGTAGGAAATTTTATTCTCTTTCGGAATATTACCTTCCACTTTGGTCGATTTCCTCACCATTCAATAGTTATTCGCAAAAATGTCAAGCAACCTCCAAATTTTCTAGTGGTAAAAAAGTTGGAGATTACTTTTTAACTTTTTACAATTAAATCTACAGTTCTGCTGGATCGATTTTGTTAAATAATGTGTCTTTGGAAGGCATAAACTATTTGAATTGCTTTTTCGTTTGATGTGTATTTTATAGCGGTAAGTTTAATAGTATAAAATTTATAAAGCGTTAAAACCGGGTAATTCATTTTGAAACACCCGGTATTTTAAACTCATTGTAAATATGACTGTTATTCGTTTTGAAATAACTTCAGTAATACTTTGCAATTGCTCGAACTCGAGCAACATGTACACTAGTGGGAAAATTAATGTCTCAAAATTGATGGATAACATAACTATTTAAATCCTTGGAAATGTTGAGGAGTATTTTGTTCCAATTTATGTTTTCTTTAAGAACTTTTTGTGTAGGCTTTTACTATTCTACAGTCTTCTATGTGGGTTTATTTTGCGCCATAAAAACCTGACGGTTTCTGTTTTGTAATAAAGTCAGCTGTTATACTAGCTAGAGACCTCATTGTTGTAGTGAACGATTGCTTATATTATGCCATTATTAGGTTATGTTTGGTAAAACATCACTTCTTCGAAAGAGAGTTACTGTATAGTGTGGTGTGGCACTGTTTGGAGTCATCGGACCATATGTTTTTGAGGACGAAAGTGGGACCCCCCTGTCACTGTAAACTCGGAACGCTATGTGGAAATACTGAGGGGGTTTTTGGTTCCACAACTGCGAATGTTAGGAGAGATACACATGACCAACACATGGTTTCAACAGGACGGCACAATTTGTCATACATCCAATTATTCAATGACGGTTTTGCGTGAACTCTTTCCCGGTAAAGTGATCTCTTGGTTTGATGATGTGCTGTGGTCAGCTCAATCCCCAGACTTAATTTCGTGTGACCGTTGGCTATGGGGATACTTAAAAAGCAAAGTGTTTGTTTCGAAATTTCGAACTATCCCTGAACTCGAACAGTGCATTCGATAAAAGATTACTTCTATTCATCAGGCGAAGGTGACTGCTAAAATATGCAAAAGAAGCCCGCGTTTAGGAGAAGGTCATCACCTAAGTGGTATAATTTTTCATAAATGAAAATGGCATAGTAGTGTGTACAATATAATATTATTTAATACATAAAATTGTATTTTGTTCTTGAGTTATTTAGTTTTATAAACCGTCAGGTTATTTTGGCGCACCCTTTAGTAGACCAACCATGTAACATAAGTAGGCCCTAACTGTTTTAAAGCTTTTCATGATTACTGTTATAAAAATAGGGTATTGTGGGTTAAAATATGAAATATATCAAAACTTGTAATTACAGTACTCATTTCTAAAACCCGATCTTACCGGTTTACGAACTCGTGACAATTTCCAGGCCAACGTTCTAGCTTCACATCCGTACAAATTGGATCAAAATCAGACCACAATCATTGACTATAAATCACAATGTATTGCTCCGCCAAAAGAAAGAAATGGGATGACATGATCTGTGTAGTCTTTTTGCTAACTGATCAGTTGTTCCTTAAAAGGTATGCAGTATTACAAGTGTGGCTTCAGATCTCTTCTTCGCCCCGTACTGTATTTAGTTCCTCGACTAGAGTTGGCAATGTGAATTCCTTATTTGACAAGCACGATTCTATTTGCATGTCCGTTATGGTGAAGGCCACGACAGTTTTAGACTACCCACGCAGGAAGTTATGTCTTTTGGCTTGACTGTTTGGGTGTCTAGCAATCTATATTTGGTTTTGTGTACGGCTGTGTGTAAAGTTTTACTGGGTTTTTTAGTACGATTGCCTGTTTAAGTGCCTGATTCTTTGTTTGGTTGCCAAGCTGTCTGATTGTATTTTTTATGGTTGGACCAAGGTCGGGTATGTATAGAGTTGTCTGGTGATTGTTCGGTTGTCTGAATGTTTGATTCGCAAAGACTATCCGGCGGTAAAATTGCATGATACATATTTTTTTTATTTCTAGATTCATTCCTCAGTGTTTTAATAATTATAAAGGTAAAATTACGTTTCATACCCATTATAGAATAATTACAAGTTCTTTGCTGTGTACTACCATCAAAGGACAACCTTCAACATTGTTTACATGTAGTTCTGTGTGGACAGGAGAACAAGATATTAGTGCTAAACGAACTAGTTGTCATCCGTGTTATCCTAATGATGAATAAAGTAATGGTGAAGATTGTTGTTGTTATTGATTTAATCTCATACATGTTGAAGAATGTGCTTAAATAATTTTATTAAAAAAATATACATTTATCAAAACAACCATTTGTTGCGATTCTTGTACACTAGCAGCATTGACTGTAGTCAAAGCTAGCAGCAAACATATAATCAGTGAACGAATGTTATACATTATAAATAGCGCTTGGGTCTAAATATTTGTGAGAAATGTGAGCCTCCGTGATAAAAACTTGATGAAGCTACCATAAATAACCTTCGTCTGCGAATCTTCTTCGACGAGGGTTTTGAAATAAACAATCGTCAGAAGATAAAAAGTCCGAATCGTATCTGAGCCTGATTCTTCAAAGACAAATTGAAATTATAATGCAACAAGTTCAAACTAATAGGCTAAAAAACTAAGCAGAATCCCTTAATATAGAAAATCTCAACATTTAAGTAAGTAATTTACAAAGTGTATTGGTCTTGTCAGTACAAAGCATACTACAACATTGTATTGTACTTTGTAGTTACTTAAGGGTCAATAAAATTTCTTATTGTCATAGTGTAGCCTATCAGAGATGAAACAAATTCAATTTGACATGTTGTCTGAAACAACAAACCGACATGACTTTGATTGATTTAAAAAATAACAGCGCAGATTGATTTCTCTGCTAGACTGGTTCCTAGTGTTGTGTTTTAAAGGTAGTTTGGTCTTTGTCAAAATAAATGTGTTAAGTGTAAATTTTATGTACATGCTTCTCATCACAATGACTCTCAACATATATGCAATTAAATAATTAGTATATGTGTAAACAGTCAATCCACAATCCATCTTATAAAAAGGGTAAATTGTGTATCAACGTAGTGTCCATTTTACTGCTGTCTATTTCAGAATAGGTAATACAGTTCAATCTAGTTTAACCTAGACGTGACCACACTGCGGTAGTAACGGTCCCAGACGAGGCTGACAATAATTAGCAGGCACCCACACCTGTGTAAACCTACTTACATCCGCCAACACCACCATGACCTAGAACTATAATATTGTGGACAGTGGACAGGACAGGCTATGATTTTAACCAAGTCTCGGGTCCGTTGTCCTTATTTGTCCTATTGTTTACCAGTATGTCAAGTGGTTCATTACTGCCACTCGAGCTCGACTAAGTTCTCATTCAAGGGGACTAGGTAGTACAATCAATAGCAACAAATCATATTTACTATTCAGGACACGAAACCAACCCCTGGTTCGCCATAGCCTGTCTGCACTATAGTGTATGGGGAGGGTAGCGTTTGTTGTACATCCGCCGCTACAACCCTGACCTGACCTAGCACGCTAGCAATTTGCGCCAGACCGTGACGTCATTGTAGGAACCGCATGGTGCAACGTGTAGTTGCATGTCTGGCCGCGGTAGGTACACAGCGCTAGTGTGTGTCTGGTACTGCTGGGCGCTGCTCTGGGTCAGGCTCTGGGTGGTGTTGGTGTTGGTGTTCTACCGTCGTTCCGTTTGTTGCCGCCGCGCGCCGCTGACGGTGGTCTATCCGGTCTATCCTTCCTTGACGCGAAGTGCGCTCACGAGGTGCGATAACCCATTTCCGGTTCTGTCTAGACGTGCATGTTACGTGACTTCCGTTGCAAACTGTTTCCGGGACAATAGTTTTGATTTAATTGTTGGTGCAATCCAGTGGTGTGTAATTTCATAATTAGGTAAAAAATCACTACCGGTAATGATCTTGAAACCTATCAAACTTATAGATTTGGGTAGCTTATAAAATAGATAAAAACTGTTTTTATTTTTTCCATTGTACTATTTTTAAAGTTTATAGTAAACACTTTATATTAATTAGCCTATTGTTGTTTAATTTTATAAATAACAATTAGTTGTAGTTAATGACTTTGTCAGTTTTTTTTTTTTTTTGTATAAAATAGAATGATTATGCTGTTCATTTCTAGAAGTTTATTTAGGCCTAAAGTTTTTTTTATTTAAATTGTATTTAATGGTAGTACAGGTACACTGAACTTCAGTAGAAACTGTTAAATTTTGTTGAAAGTTAAATGAAAATATTAGGTTGGTATTAACAAAATTACTACATTTTTTGTAGGTAAGTACAGTAAAAAGATATGTTGGTTCTAATACTGGACTCCAAAAAAATTATCAGTCACTGACAACTTCTTAAGATCTTTACGAGTAAAATATGTGTCTATAATTAGTTATAATTCTACTTTATTGCTGCGTACGTAATCTCCCGACATCCCCTAAGGTTTAGGGTTGGCCTAGTACAGTACACGCACTTTAAATTCCACACTAGAACTTAAACTAACTAAAATTACACGTTACACAGTTAATTCAATCAAATTTGTTTAGTGAATTTTATGGAAACTATTATTCCTGTAAGAATAAGAAACTCATAAGATTTAAATACAATTTTGATTAATACTGTAGTGCCAAGATATTAAGATGATCAATAAGTTATGATTTTAAAGACGGTTTTGACTTAAGCTGTGAATAAATTTAAAGTAGCCTACTATAATTTAGTTACAGCACAATATACATTACACTGCTATTTAATAAATCATTTATTCATTTATTTATTGAAAAGTAATTATTTGATGGATGTTTAGAAAAATATCAGTATTGACCATTTGAAACGTTTTTGCCGAACTGCTATTCTATTGTAATGCGTTTCTTTTCAAAGGAAAGTTGGAAGCTGCAATTACGATTCGGAACTGTATCATATGAATGTTTTCACTTTGATGCCAAATTACAGTTGTCAATTTCTCACTCACTAGTTTAAACTTTTAACCGACAAAAACATCAAACTTTATACCGCGTTGAGTATATTTTTAATTGAATTTTTTTATTTTTTATTCTAACTTATGATTTGTGCATTTTATATTCCTAAAAACGTTACATGTGACTTTAAAAGTACTGTATTGTATACGAAAACTTAAATGTAATCTTATGAAACTCGTTCCTAACGTTGCACCACAGGGGTTCAGAGACAAGTTTCGCGAATATCGAAGGGAAGGGTGATTATTACTGGGGGAGCATCGGATCGAAAATTGGGGAGGGCTCAGAAGGGCGAGAGAAGAAGCACTCCCTACCCAAACTACAATCCGCGTGTAAAACCAACGCTCCCCGTCTTATCGAGCGGGATTTTGGTTTGGGGGGTCTGTGACGTCATCCCCTCCCCTGTGACGTATCGAATTTTGGCCCCCGCCCCGACCCAGAGCCACGCCACTCGTTCACGGTTTTCATTGTGAAGGAGGCGATCGTAAGCAGTTTTGTTTACATCTGCGCCAACGTTCCCCTTCCAACTTCCAGCGATGTTAAACTTTACAGAGTTCAGTGTGAGCGGAGCCGGCCTACCGTCGTGATCGACGACTCCGGGTTCTCAATTCTCAAATTTCGTATTTTCGAGTTTCGCATAGCGTTTCTGCGGTGTTTTCAGTTTTAGTGGAGTGTTTGTTTTACCATTGGATGTGTGATTTTGTGTTGTGGTGTCTACTGTGTGAAATCAGTGATTAAACTACGTATATTATCTGTTTTGAACTATTTAACTATATTAGTTTCGAAATAAACAACATGGTGATAGGGTATAGTGATTTGTAGTCGGTAGGTTATATGGTTATAATAATGATAGTTTACACAAAACACAATTTTTGAGGTTAACTATTTCCAGTCCAAATTTTTTTATTATACAGAGTACCTACACAGATTTTGTTTGTGTTTACCAACTAGAATGTTTATTTTTCATCCATTAAAACGTAGTTAAACGAAACCATCTTGAGAAACCATCATTGTTGGTAATGATGTGTTGAATGTTCTTTACAGACATTTCCCGTCATTAGTTAGTAAAAACTCAAGAGTAAAGACCCTTTTACTCTGAGGTAAAAAGCGTCTTACAAAATTCCAGGACGGATTCTAGATTCCGAACCGTTTGATGTGTTTTAGTTTTACTAACCACTGATAAACACAATATAGAATTTACAATTCGAATAATTCATGATTATATAAGTAATTCGAGACTAACAAAGGAAATTGTCCCAACTATAAAATATTCAACTTATTACTATTTAATATTTATGCCAGTGGCGTCATTTCACCAAATCCTTGGGGGGGGGGGGCAAATACCGGGGGGTATGGGGGGTATGGAATACCCCCCAGCAAACAAGGGGGGTCCTTGCCCCCCCCGGAAAATTTTGCAGTTTTGAAACAAAAAAGAGGGCTTTAAGCTTATTTTAATTGTCAAAAACACTTCAATAAAAAAATATTATGAGTAAAATTTATTTAAATTTTGGCAGAAAGTTAATGAAACCAAGAATTATTGACAACAGACAGAAACACAATAATTTTATTCATCTAAGAAACGTGATCAATAGTTCCATGATGTATTAATATTATGTTTGTTATTAGATTCATGATTAATTTCTCTTGTACAACATTTTGCAATGAATACGGTTGTTCATAGCCTATAGTTTATAACAGTTTATTTTGGTTTTTAAATTAAATACAAGTATTTAAGAACTTAAAAGCAAATCAAATTTTATCACCAATAAAATCATTTGGCACAAAAGTACAAAAGGTCCTATTTAACTATATTAAATTGGTAGTCTACAATGTTCAAAATAAATTACGTAAAATTTAGACACATGTATAATTTTAATGCTTGAATAATTCATAAAAGTAAATGACAAAGCAATGCTTCTAAAAAATCTGAATTTTTATGTATATATATATAAACTAGAAGTAAGTGGTTTATCGTACAGCACCAAACAGAAAAAGTAAATGAATAACAAAACTACTAATTTATGTAAACTCTAAATGTGCTACCTAAAACAATAAAACAATAATAATTTTTGTTTCAAATTACTGTACAAGAATATACAGATTTGTGTCTGCTGTGCTTTTTAGGATTTGACAGGAGAAAATATTTGTATATTGGCTAGTACAGCATATTTTTTTCTCTATCCCAGGATCCAGGGGGGGGGGCTTGCCCCCCCTGCCACCCCCCAAATGACGCCCCTGAATTTATGCATTCCGCAAGTTCTTATATTAATGATTTAATAACTAAGCAATCCCATTGACGAACATTGTAGCATTGATACTCAATGATAATAGTCAACTAAAATGCTGAGTATGTAATGTGGGCCCATTAAGATAAGATTAATGTCCGATAAAAGTTAGTATTCGCTCGAGTCCAGTATTATTTAAATAAATGTAGGTACTATCATAGATAAAAGGACTTTTAATCTATGGTACTATTTCAATCGGAGGCACTAACCACATATGTCCTAGATTAAGAGGGTAATAAAAAATATGTAGGCCTAGGCTATACAATATTTGGGCAAAAGTAAGATAACAGCAACAGTTTACTAGGTTCTACCATTGACTACATATACTCAATATGCATAGCCTAGTATATAAAGTCAGTGGTTATACTGTATACTAATTGTTTTAGCTCTTGCCTATACAGTTACTCAACAGTAACAATACTGTACACTCCAATTTCGTCAACTGTTTACTTACCCTATTTGAACAGCACAACACGATTTTAAGGTTTTCTATAGTTATTACTGAAATTATACTAAATCAGCAACTACTTTTCATAATGTTTGCTCCCTACTATCACATGCTATACGTTTTCTAACGGTATCTATACGTGGTTTCTTTTGTCGTTGATGTTTGCGCGAGGCACAAAGTTATTAAAATTCCACATTATGTAAGTAGGCCACCGGAAGAAGTGATGGCGACGGTCGCATACCGCCTTAGCAGATGTTTTGGACTTCTGGCAGTAAAAAAAAAACAAGTTCACCTTGAGGCGGCGATCGATTGTTCGCGCCTAAACAACACACCTGTCAGTCCTGTCACACTGGTCCGTAATTTGGCGGGAATCGAACTTGTAAAAAACGCAAGGTGTTTGAATTGGTGATAATTACACACACTTGCCTCTCGTTTAAAGAAGGAAGTCTTAATAATTTTTGCGCAATGCGCAAAGTATACTCTCAACGTATCTCTTATTTTGAGGTCAGCTTTGTTCCGTAAAAAATGCACGGTGAATAAAAAATAAAAAAGTAGAAATTTTATTTATTGTAAACATTACAAAATGCTTTGGGGCCTAAATGTGTTGTAAATGTAACGCTAGTTAATACACGCAACACGTTCGAATTACAGGAATGTTACGATGCACTATATACAGCATCTTTCACTATTTACAGGACGTTCTTATTCAACCTAACCATAGATCTATGTTCAACCCATTGGTTAATATTGTAGCTTGTTAAATGGGTTCAGTTTTGCTATATTATTAAATTAGTTATTTCACAATGATGTAATTCCATAGCAATTTAAAAACAAAAGCATTATAAAACCATTAAAATAACAAACGTAATAAACCGAAGAAAAATAATTCCGATACAAGCATCCAAAAACATAATATGATAAATGTTTGCCGAAAAATCTATTATATTATTAAAGTGATACAATCAAATTTTATGTAAACGATTAAGGTCATTTACCAAATAAAACTATAGGCATATGCCACATCAAAATTAACTTTGTGCTTAGACTGTGTAGATTTGCCGAAAAGTATTATGGACGAATATCCTAAGGGCTCTGCCCCACAGGCTGATTTCAAAAGGGCTACGCCTGGCATGATTCCAATGTCTAAATGATTTGATTTAATTTAGTTAATGAAACAGCTGGTTATCTGGTAAAATGAACTGGTGTGTGTTTATTTACTCGAAAAAGATGTTTGTGACGCTTTATGTAGATTGAGGAGGGTTATGTTTGGTTTTAAAGTGAGGTTGTAGACGTTTTGTAAAGTATTGCTCAAAGTTTCATTTTTTAATTTATATAGTAAGCTACAAGTGAAGAGGCTTGACTTAAATTGAAGAATAATGTTAAAACATGTCATTCATGAAGCATTAATATGAACCAATTTATGATATTGCTATACTAGGTATGTTGTCATATTCTTATCGATCAATTTACATCAAAAGTAGGGGTTTGAAAGTAAGTAGGTTTACGCTTTTAAATCAGTTTATATTTTTAAACTAAATCATAGCGTTGCTGTATTTTAAAACACACATAAGCACCACATAGTTCTCTATACAGGTCACATTTTCTTCCCGTTGCAAAGCACGGGTATAGCAGCTTGTACTGGCCTAAACACAGTAGGTAGTTTTAATAATTATAGCCTACCCTCTTTTGAGCAAGATGGCCCGTAAAAAACAACCAACAGCAGAACAATATAGGAATTTGTAACATTCAAATTTTTTCTCTGAAAATGCAATATAAACATTCATTTCTACGTTACTGCATCTGTAGGCCTATTAGCATTGAGTATATGCGTGTATACTCAATGGCATTAAGTCTCAACGGTAATACCATTGCATTGACTATAAAATATTTATAATCCAAGGAAACGGTAGGGATTGGAGCCGCGTTTATCTACGTAGACGACGAAGATATAAAATAGGTTTAACAGTTCCTTTGTGGAACGAGGTGCAGTTTATAGTCCCATAAATACCCCCCTTTAGCGCGGCAGGCTGATAAAATATATAGTTTATAGTTTTAAACCATTATACTAACAAGTATAGCTGAGGTATTTTTAACATTAGGTATGTGGAAAGTTCCCTTTAGAAAGAAATTACGACCGTAAAGGAAAATTTATGAAAAAATGGATAGTTTTGCGCAAGGTTTCTATAATAGTCTTGACGATCATTTTAAGTATATGGTTTATGTGAGTGTGACATAATACTTTTAGTATACAAAAGTTCATGGGTCATTTGGGATTTATATATGGATATAGATATAGGTCTAACTACTTTAATAGTAGGCTTAGTCAAATTTTCAGTTATAAAAATCATTACCTTGTTTTTAAATAATTTAACACACTAGAGTAGAGTTTGGATGTGATTAATGCAAAATCGAGCAAGAGAATTTACTAATGTTTTGCTGTATAATAGTTTCTTATTGTTCATTTTCATCTAGCATTATATAGTTCATTTATATCGTTCTGCCTCATAAACTAATGAACTAATTAATTTATTCATGTTGCAGTGCTGAACATTTAACTGTAGAATAACATAGTTATTTTTAAAATTAAAATCAGATAGTCAATAGTGGTGTACAGGGTGAATAAAAAGTCAAGACCCCCCCCCCCCCGCCCTCTAATATTTTTCCAAGTAAATATACAGAGATATCCTTTTGGGGGTCTTGCAATCTTAGCAGGAAGTTTCATTTGTATGAGTTGAGTATCGTATTGTATTGTATTGAAGTTGCATGAGTATCGTCCCAAAAGGGGGGATTTGGGGGGCAACTCAAATATTTTAAATGTATACCCCCTTCAAATGACACCTCATTTTGAAGTGTTTACAAAAACTTAAACAATGGTGAAACCCAGAGTTCGCTATAAGTGAAGTTAGAACAGTTTTAAGTGAGTCGGAGTAAGAGTGAAATTGCCTCTGTGATGTACTACCAAGACTAAGCTAAAACGCCGTTTATTTCAAAGAACTCGAAATAAATCTGCGCTGGACTGAAATCAAAAACCACTAGACCACAGAATGCAACAAGTCCTAACCAGGCAGATTGGCATTGCAATGGCGCATTTA